TGCCAAGTAGTTGGTTAATTGGTAATGATTTATATGTTGGTTTTGAGTTTGAAAACAAAGATGCTATCAAAAATGCAATAAAGCAAAATGGGATGAAAATGTACAAAAGTTTTTATATGGTTAAATCTATATAAAAAAAGGTGGGTTTTTATATGTTCAAATGTGGTTGACAATTGTGAATGGTACATGGGGGTAATTGAGTAAAAAAAAATCAAGTAGTTGAAAAGTGACTTAATGGGGTGGATGACATACTTGTTTAAACAAGTCCTTATCGCAAGATCACACAAAGTTAGATTCAGACTTGATATCATTTTTCATACAAGGTAAGTTTTTTTTTTAAGTTCATTTTGTATTTTAGTAGATTGAAATATTAGTTACTAATAAACATGCTAATTAGGAAAGGTGAATCAAGACCCATCCATCGAGATCAACCTTATCTAAGGAATGATCACATCACAACTAGGTTCAAAATTTCATACAAAAAGGCTTGGATGACAAAACAAAAAGTTGTAGTTAAATTTTTAGACAATTGGGAAGATTCTTATGCTTATCTACCAAGATGGTTAAAATACATGAAAGAAATTGTCCCAAGTCTTATTATGATTTTTTGTTGATAATCATCGTGATGCACATTTTCATCAATTCCATTGCCTTTTTTTGGACATTTAAGCCTTGTTGTGATGCCTTCAATTACTATAAGTTATTGATACAAATTGATGACACACAAATATATATGGCAAGTATAAGGGCACACTATTAATTGCCACAACATAAGATGATAATAATAATACCTTTTGCCTTTGTTGTTGTTGAGGGGAAAACTTTGCATTTGTGGTCATAGTTTTTGGCTCATTCTTGTATGAAGTGTTGTGAAGTGGAGTCACTGAGACGTTAAATCTAAGAGATGTTACAAATTATGGATTTTAAATGGTAAATGCGTCTTAAGAAATGTGAAATTAAAAAAAAAGATACTTTTTTTTGTAACCATGTTATTGGTACGAAATATTCATCTTCTATTAACTTTGTTGATGACTATTTTTTGTTGAAAAACCTAACTGATCACCTTTAATGAAATCTCCTCTCCCAAACAGATTTTTCTACACTTGAGACTCGAATATGATTCTAAGACCTTACTAAAAGAAATCAAATTCAGTACCAGCTACATGAATAACTTTTTGTAAAATAATATTTCTTTTATATATTGTTATAGAAAATTATATATTAAATTTTATGTAGGTAGTATTGAAAACTCATTCAAAAAATTGATATTCTTTTTTAAGTACAAATCTGTATATTTTAAGATTTTTAAAATTAAAAAATGGACAATTTTAATCAACAAATCGGTGGGTTTTTAAAATAAAAAATGGAGTTATTTTAATTAACAACTTGATAGATTTTAAATTCAAAAATTGACATTTTAATTAACAATGATATATTTTAAAATTAAAAAAGTACAATTTAAAAATTAGTTATCTATATTACTCCTATAGGTTTTTTTTTTAAGGAGACAAGTAGTTAAAATTGAACTCCTTTTTTAATGGAGAAAAATAATTTAAAAAAAAAAGCTTTAAAACCCAATAAGTTCAAAACAATTTTAAAAGTCATCCAATGGATGCTTGAAAAATCAGTGTAATAACAAACTTGAACAATTCAAACAAAGGGTCCAAAACTAATATATATATATATATATAT